TGTTGGAGGAAAAAGAAAAGAAAAAAGAAGATTAGATAAGTACTTTATATCTTGTTTATCATATTTATTCTTTATTTATTATTGTAAAAGCAACTAAAATAAAAATACAGATCTTTTTAAGTTATTTGAGACTAGATTAGGTAAAATAAGTAATAACAATAATATAATTAAAATGGTTCACAAGGCACACACGCGAGTAGCTCGTGAGTAATGTAATTTGATAGCGTAACATGAGCTGCACATTCCCCAAATACTTTACAACTTATAATGGTGCAGATAGTAGTTACACATGATTCAAAGGGCAGTAAAACAATAAAACATAGTTATAAATAGATGTATAATGTTTTGAACTTAGAGCTAAATAGGATAAAGGAATGTAGTTTCATGTTACAATTTGAAGTCATTCTAGAAAGAAAAAATATTAATTTAGGTTTATTTCTTTCTTTTTATGGTTACAAGGTTAGTTGAATTGATTGATCCCACTTTGAGTTATGGTATAGAAAATAACAGATAAAATATAAAGTTTTACTGAATAAAAACGTATGAAATGCATTTAGGTTTTAGGGATTACACAAAGGAAATATGAGATTTTTGAGATGAGGAAAAGTATTTTTAATTTTAACATGAAAATTACTTTGCCCATGGACTATTTAAAAAAAAAACTCAATATATTCATGGACAAAGGGAACAGGAATGGGTGCTTCCTTGGTGATTGATATAAGCCACCACTGTCAAATTATTGGAATGTATCATGACAAGTCAATTCTGTAGAAAAGGAAGAAGGTGATCCAAACCACGTTGTACTGCCAGAAGCTCCAATATGTTTATATGATAAGGTCTCTCAGCTGGAGAACATTGTCTGGAAGCCTCCTGCTGATTGACCCATGCCTCCTCCAACCGTGGAGAGAAGTATCTGTGAATAGATGCAAATCCGTATGAGGTAGAGGAAGCAGTACACCTAACAACGTGTCATCGTTGTTCAACCACCAATACAGATTGTCTAAAAGAGAAGGAAGAAGGGTAATGAGAGAATCTAGGGGATCCCGAGCATGATTCCATTGGTCATGCAGCATCCACTGAAGAGACAGCATATGTGCACAACCCAAGGGAATAAATGCCTCCATTGAAGCTTAAGTCCCCAAAAGCAATAGAACCTCGTGAACAGAAAGAGAGGGAGCAGCAAGAGCATGGAAAACTGAAAGCTCTATTGAATGGAGTCGAATTTGAGAAGGTTGGGCCCAGCTGAGGTGTGTGTGTTGAAGAAATCACCCAAATGGATAAGATATTGGATAGGTAACAGGAAATACTTCTCCAACTTGAAAATTTAACCCACTCAAGCTGCTTCTGTAAGAAGCAGGTGAGTGTGTTTGTGGAGATTTCTGTTAGGAATGAGCTAACAGAAGCCATTCATCCATGTAGTGGTGTAAGTGCAACCTCCAAGCATGCAGAAGTCAGACAAAAGTTTTGCCCACCCGACATAAGACATACAGAGCCAAAGCAAGCCCAAAGGGCAAGGCAAGAAACTGACACACAACCTTGTGGTGGATAAACCAAAGATAGTGTTGTGACTGATAAGAAATAGGAATATGGAGATAAGCAATCGAGATTTCTACCTTGATCACCCACAGTCCCAGAGAAAAAGTCCACCACAGTGAGAGAAAAACTCCATGGTAAAATGTGGAAGATATGAAAAGTGACTGAAGCAGGTCAGATCAATCACAGGACTCCACAAAAAGTCTGGAGTAAAACCCTGGGGAAGGTTGACTGACAGGCTTGATATCTTTCTGTAATAGAAGAGTTTGCACCACCTCGAATAGATGCTCACTGATATTACGATCCCAAAGTAATGGAAAGAATATCAGTACAGAAGACAACAAGCGTGGTGAAAGGAAATGGATGAAAAATCCTTCTGACAAAACCTGGATAACCCAAGGATTGGTAGTGAATTCCAGCCATACGGAAATAAAATTGGCCAAATGCACCCCCACTGGACCAGAACCCACAGGATAGTCACCAGTACTGCTGGCGATGATGAAACCTACGTCGAGAAACATGATAAATAGTTGAACCCCTAGTGGTAGGAACAAGTAAAGGATGGGTAACAAGAGCAGGAGATTGTAATGGCTCAGAATGAGACAAAAGAGAAACCAAGGATGAAAGGGGTGATTGTTGCTTTACAGATTCTACAAGTGATTCCAAAGACTCAGGAATATCACCAAATATGGACCAATGAAGAAAAAAAAGCCATCCATAAGATAAGCTGAACATCCCAACACCAAAGAAACCCCATGTAAAGGGATAGAGCTGAAGAGGACAAACAAACCAATGTAGAAGTAATTAAGGAAAAGGTATCCCCAGAAAAACCCTTAGGAGATTGGTGGAGTGCTTCAGAAAGGAAATTTATGGAAGATATATACTGTAGGAGTGCAGTAAGGTTAAGATGAAGGCAGATAAACTGTGCGTGGAATAAATGGATAGGATTTTCAGGGTCAGCCTTTCATACAGGAAAAAATTACTCCAACTACAGAGAATCAAGAAAAGATTGATCAGCCTGATTGCAAGCCAAGGCAAACAGATCCAAGACTCATGGAGGGTGAGGCATGCTAGCACCTGCTCTCAAACGAAAAACAAATGCTGAGCATGAACCCTGATGCAATAGAACCTCGTATAGGGAGAAGGAGGAGGAGGAGGAAAAACAAAATACTCTGAGGAAGGTGTGCCATGTAATAAGGAAGGAACAAAATCATAAGAAATCGTAGAAATGGATAAAACAAAACACACCTAAGAAATCATATCTAAAAAGGCTGAGTTAGGCCTAGCAGAATATGCAGGAGAGGCTTGGGAAAGCACAGCATAGTTAGGTGAAGGAAATAGGCTGTCAAAATCCTCCCCATTATGAGTAGGTTCGAAAGATTCATGAGGAAGTCAAACAGTATTGGGAGAAGAAGGTCAACTCATATAACGATCAATCTTCTGACGAATTAAAGCAAAAATTCCTCAGTTGAGGTCCCTTTCCTGAAGCCTGTGTAATTGTGCTGGAAGTAGGTGGAATAAAATCTGAAGTGGTAACATGAATTTCAGAATTCATCATAAATGGTGAAGAATTTAAAAAAATGAAGAAAAAAAGGCAAGTTATCACATCAAAACTACAGAAAACATACTGTAGTAAAACATTTAAATGAAATTTCTAGTCCATAGAAATGTTAAAGAAAAACACATGAAGAGACCACAATAAAAAAACATCTGCACTAGATCACTGCCTAACAAGAGGAGATAGTTTAGTAGAATTGAATAGAGGAAATCACATGCGTCAGGAGGGTGTGTCGCACTCCTGGTGAAGGGTTGTCACATGATGATTTACATGCAAGATGCAGTTGAACCACATTGTTCATGGGATATGTGGGAGATCAAGGCTTGTGGCATGCAAAAAAGTTTTGTGTATAGAGGACAACACTGAATGAGATTAGCTACACATGTGAGAAGAGGTGATGTACCATGTCGGAAAGGAGTTAAAAGAGTGCAGTCAGAGTGAAGGGGTTAATTCTCTCTTTATTCTCAATAGAAATACCAATGATTACACACAGATTAATATCTGTTTTTTCTTTAATAACAATACATTGTTTCTGTAAGTGTTCTTTAGGGTATTTCAGACCATTATCTATCATGAAGGTCAATTTACAAATACAAATAGTATTTTTAGTGCTGGCCTGCACGTGTACAGTGTTTTAAGTAATTTAGGAATCAAAATGATTTAGGTATAACAAATGTATATCAAAGTCTGATAGAACTGTGCCCATTTCTGATCTTCAAACTAATAATAGTATAATCATTTAGCTGTAGAAAATGTGGTGTTCATTCAGTTTATATACAGGTGTGCATAAGACACCTGATCACTAAGCAAAGAACTGCTTTGAATAGCCAAGCATCAGCAATTTGAGTACTGAAATTGTGACCCAACTGATATGAAAAACGTAATATATTTGTTATTGGAATTATCTTCATATATTTGTAATTAAAGAATATTCTTACATCTAAATTTTTAATGTTATTTCCACTGTATTATTATGTTTCATAATTATATGGCCACTTGTGGTTATTTCTACTAACTTGTAAGGTTCACTAAAATATTTTCTTTCCTTCATTTCTTCTTCAGGGATCTCAGTTTCCTTGTATAACATTCCCCATTCAAAAATCCCTCGAAAGTGGGTGTTTCCACGATACACGGGACGATATTCAAAAGTATCCTTGTCGATTCCATCGATCACTGGAACTGTCATCACTGTGCTAAAAAACAAATAAAAGCAACTTAGGAAGTTTACAATATTCATAGACAGTTTTAAGAAGGAGCTGTTCCATCAATGAAACATTGATTTGATACATTATGCCAATAAAAACAATTTCTACTAGCTTGAAGCTAGCAGAAAAAAACAAACAAATGTTCTACCATTTATATTATTTCTAGAAGTAGATACTACTGTTGTATTATAATTTCATTGTACAATAGTAGAATGTTTTTTAACTTCCATATACTTATGACTTAGCTCAATGTATTATATAAGAAGTAACCAATAATCAATTATTTCTGTCTCCTAGTTGAAATAAAAAAAGCAAAACCAAACACTGTGTACTATACTGGTTACATATGGTATAAATTTTAAAATAATTTGGAACATTTTTTCACACCATACACAGGATTAGGATACTTTAAACTTCATTTAATGTATCTTATATCAAAAATATAAAGTTCTCTAAAATAAATAAACCTGTTAATTCATAAATTTTATGTCACTAACATTACTGAAATAAGAACTGACCTTACACAAATAAATGAATGTCCAATGTGGGATCCACAAGCTATTATAGGAGAAAATAAGAAATAAGGTTTCCTGCATAGATTTAACCTTAACCTTTAACAGGTCATTCATATATAGTTGCTCATCTAGAAAAATGTCTGTTGTCAGAAAAATAAAAATGCCTGGACATATTTCTTTGATTATGCAACATGCAAACATCAGATATGTCTACAGGTAGACATTCTATTTTGTACAGGTGTAGCTAGTAAGCTTCTGTATTATTTTTCATTCTTCTGTAAAATTTCAGAAGCATCTGTGAAATTCCCAAAGATCACTGTAAGCAAAAGTCACTCTATAACTACCAAGCAGTATCTGGAAAATCACCAAAGACTGCTACAAGAGTCCCTCTATAAATAATGAGGAGCATCTGGGAAATCCCCAAAGATCATTGTAAGTAAAAGTCACTCTATAATTACTAAGGAACATCTGGAAAATCCCCAAAGACCACTATAAATCAGAATTTCTATTCAAATAATAAGAAGCATCTGGAAAAACCCCAAGGATCATGGCAAATAAAAGTCACTTTAAGTCTATACTATGCTCATCATTAATCAGTCCTTATATCTGTACTATATCCTACTACATCTGAAGATATATGACTAGAAGCTTACGTATTCTCCTCTCACTTATAGTATAGTTGAAGCTATAACTTCTCCATTCATCTTTCAATCTGCCAGTTTAATATATCATTTATGTATACATTTTCTGAAAGCTTTTACTTACACAGTTACAGTGCCCAAAATGACCTGATGGTGGGCTCTGTCAAGCAGTATCTATCCACTATTATTAACTGGTTTTCAATTTGTATGATTCATTATGAAAATTTTATTCCTTGTCAGTCTTTATCATTATGGTTAATATCACAATAATATTAGTGTCAAACTCTTCAGATACATTAGAAAACTTAACTGAGAATTCACCCAAACCTTCATAGCATTTCCAGGTTTTTTCCAGCCGATCTAAGCTTCAAAAGTGGCCATGCATTTGCCTCCAACTCTAGGTCTTCAAGGAAAGGAAAAGAGACAACAACAGCATTGCCAGCTCCACACCTGGACTCTCATTTTTGGGACAAAAAATTCATACAAAGAATTTCAATGTTTTTGTCAACCATCAAGTTTCCCTTTATTTGGATACAAGATTTCAGAAGGGAAACCACAAACATCACTTAGAGCTCAAAATTTAGTTTCCTTAAAAGTATTCTAAAATGTATAAAAAATGGATGTCACAGATATATATCTGCATGATACAATATTTTTGTTTCCACAAAAGTTCCTTTAACTTCTCACCCAGAACATTATCTTTTGTTGATAAAGTAAAATTTAGAATATTCAATGCCATCTTTGGAAAATATTTATTACTAATGAACTTACAGTATTTGAAAAAAATTATGGAAACAGCAAATAAAATGAACATAAAATGCATTAAGGTACAGTCAAATGTTGATTTGACATTGTAACTGACTGTCAGTAAACCAATCAGATAGTGCTACACCAGCATAATGCCTATAAAAGTACAGGTAGACATAATATTCCCAACACTAATGTGGTGAATGCACTCATGGCTCTTGGGACCGAAATGACAAAAGTTCTAAACAAGGTATGTAAAACTAATCGTCTTGATAATATAAATGGTCAAGATAGAAAGTGATATAAGTAACTTGAAATATGTTCTTTATGTGATACATGACAATCTAGTAGAAATCTTACCAACGATCTATCTGTTAATATAGCTGTGAATAAATTCCAGAACAGTAACATTGACACAAAGTGACCTAAATGTATGTGTAGCTGCTCAAACACCAATGCCTAGGAGAGATAACCAAATGAAAAATTTCAAATGGAAATCAGATCTCACGATGGTATAATCAACAATAATTTGTTAAATGGCAAAGAACAGAGCAATATCATGGTCAATGTATAGAGCAAAGCTTGTTGGTAGATCAATATAAGTGTGGAATGCAACTCAGTGGTGTTGGAAACTTATTGTCTGTGACTTCTGTATGTGTATCACATGTGAATTTTGTCTATAATTATTTCCAATACTCTAGTAAAGGCCTTAGATCACTGAAAAAGTATTGTGAACAGTTCTTCTATGTTACATTTCATATAAAATGTTATCAAGAAGTTCCTAAGCACACTAACTGTAGTGACAAGTACTGAAATTATTTACACAGTTTAAGAAAGGCAACCACAAACAAAATAGTATACTTACGGTGGCTAGTTCTGAAACATTGCAAATAAAAACTATTCATAAAGTACAGTCATCATTATAGTGTTTTTCTCAAGTTTTTTCAATTGTTATAACTGGATCAAACCATTTAGTGAAATAAAATACTACAAAAAGCCAGAAACCAATGTCTCTATTCTATTTACATACTTTAGTTTCTTTGTATATATTAAAATATTAAATACCACAACCAAAGATATTTAAAAGTCATAAATCTTCAAGCATCCCAATAAAAAGGGGATATATGAGTTTTCCTAAATACCATAAAAAAATCAACAAGTAAACACTTCCAATAATTGTGGGAAACTATTTAGTCTCAAACAATTTAGCTATTCATGTATATAGGAGCCAGTATAGGAAAAACTAGTTAGTGTTAAAGAGCTTTCTTGTTCATGCTTATAGGAGCTAGTAATGGAAGAAACCAGCCAGTTAAACAACTTACTTTTTCATGTATAGTATACAGAAGCCTGTTCACATTAAACTACTTACTTGTTCATGTACATAAAAACCAGTCAATATTAACCCTATTGCCACAGGCATCCTTTACTGTGCATATCACGAGGCTTTAGTATCTTACATTAAAAAATTTATTAATCTACTTTTTGTTTATGTTATACCAATTAGTACAACATAAAATTTTAGCTAATAATCCATATTTCAATAGTAGACAAGTTTTAAGTTCTTAATTTTATAAGGCAATATTAAATCAAAATCCTGAATTTCCTTTAGTGTGACACATTTTATTCTAGGCATCCCCTCTTCTCTATTTTACCCATCACCCCTCCAATAAGTATCAAATTCAATGTAAATTACTCTCTATAAAATCGTCATTGCTCAGACAAAACTAGTTTTTATAGCCTTCAATTTTGTTTGGTTACAGAGCCAACAAATGGAAAATCACATCCTTCGTGCCACACCCACCTGTCACATCCTCTCTTTCAGGACTTGTTAATAGTTCTCTCTTATGTTTAATTCCATATTATCTATAACTAATAGATAGAGAAGGTTTTCATCTATCAAATGATATATTATATAATGTTGTTTTCTGAATGAAGAATTGTCAATTTCACTGTTGGTACAAGTTTTGTTCCCATGGGAAAGACAACAACTAGCTTGGATGATATTGTAATGGTTCTTGTAGCAGAGTTAGAAAGCCAGAAACATTGTGATAGTTAGGCGAAATTGTCTACTTTTGTATGTTATTAGTCTATGTTCTTTGGTGCAATATTTAATTAAATAAAAATTATTCAGCACATTACTACCATTGATATAAAAAAAGTAGGGTTAAGTGTCATTGACAATTGATAGCAAAAAAAAAAATGAATCGGGTAAGTATTATATTTCTTGTTTTTCATGTTTATTCTTTATTTATTATTATAAAAGTAATTAAAATGTAAAAATATGGATCTTGTTAGGTTAGTTAAAGTTAGATTAGGTAAAATAAATAATAATAATAATATAATAAAAATGTTTCACAAGTAACGCATGCAAACAACCCATGGGTAATGTAATTCAATGGCATAACATGAGCTCCATGTTCCCCAAGTGATTTACCACTTATAATGGCACAAATAGTTAGACATGTTTCAAACGGCAACAAAACAATAAAATTTAATTATAAATAGATGTATACTGTTACAAGTTTAAAGCTACTGCGGATAAATGAATGTAGTTTCATGTTACAATTTGAAGTCATTCTAAAAAGAATAAAAGGTAATTTAGATTTATTTCTATATTTATTTTGGTGGTTACAAGGTCGGTCAGAATGATCAACCTTGTATAGAATTAGGGTAGGGAAAATAACAGAAAAAATATAAAGTTTTACTGAAAACAAACATTTGAAACGTATTTAGAAGGTTTTAGAGATTACACACATCAAATCTGAGATTTTTGAGATGAAGAAAAGTATTCTTAATATTTGCGTAGAAATCAATTTACACACAGAACTATTTAAAACAAATACTCAATATATTCATGGACAAATCTTTTTTTTAGTTTATTAAAATAACTTCACAAAAAAATATGACTTTTCAATATTTACTGAAAGACTGCCAAATTTTGTGAAGATATACATACTATATTAAAATTTAGTAGTATCAAATCTATAGACTTTATAGGAGTACAAAGAGGTCACGTGACTTTTCAATATTTACTGAAAGACTGCCAAATTTTGTGAAGATATACATACTATATTAAAATTTAGTAGTATCAAATCTATAAAGACTTTATAGGAGTACAAAGAGGTCACGTGGTCAGTCAAATCGACCAAGCCCATGTTGAGAGAGTTAAACCACTTACTCGTTCATGTATAGTATACAGAAACCAGGAAAATGGAGGAAGCCGGTTAGTGTTAAACAACTTGTTCATGCATTTAGAAGCCAGTAATGGTGAAAGCCAGTCATCTTAAACAACTTACTTGTTCATGTATATAGGAGCCAGTAATGGTGGAAGCCAGTTAGTATTCACCTCACAGTGGGCATCCAGAAACAGTACCACATCTCCTTTTGATTCTTGTGCTCCAAATGTACGAGAACGGATCAAGCCCTCACGCTGTTTGTTATGCAGCAATCGTACTTTTCCTTTAAACTGACGAATGTAATCCTCTAGTTGTCCTTTCAGGTGCTCTATTAATATAAAAAACAAACAAACTCAAATTAAATTACAAACTATGATACAAACCTTTGAAGTATCATATGCAGGTGTGTATATATACATACATACACACACATATATAAGTACATACAATTTTTGCTTTTTTTTTACCTTAATAAACAAAAATCATCCATCCAATTATACAAAATGAAAGTATCAAAATTATGGAAATTTCATTGGTTTCTAGGATGAATTTAGACTGTCTTATTTATTTGTTAGAATGTGATACAGTTAATTAAGAAAAATCAGAAGAATTTAGTTCTAAACTGACAGAAGAATATACCAGGATGTTAGAAAATACGTAGGTTCAAGAAGTCTTGATAGAAATGAATAAAAACCCTATAACCCAGTTTGCTCCTGAGAAAGAAAGATCCACCTTTCAAAAGTGCTCAGGTTATAAAAGAGTATCTCAAACTTTTTTCCCTAAAAATATATGTACAGCTATGTCTGACACTGGTTTATGTTTTAGTATATTTTCATGTTACATTTTACAAGGATGAAGTTTAGAGAAATGCAAACTACTAGCTTAAAGTAGTGTTTGAAGAGATTCTATAAACATAATCTACATCAGCTTGTTTTGATACCATTCTGCTTTCATGTTTTCTATAAATTACCCACGTTAGAAAAGAAGGTTTAACTAGCTTAATGAAAAAAATACACCATACCAATATTTTCAAATGTCTAAGGAGCTTCCCAAGCCTATAAACAGACAAATTACTGTAATTGTCCTAAAATTCCTTAGAAAATTCTGGAAACACATATACAGATTTCAAGTGAGCATACAAATAACTTATAAATAGCCACCCAGCTGAATAATTTTAGTAACAATTACTCTTATAACTTCTTTTCCCTTAATAAGATAATTAAATTAAATCTCTGGAAAGAATCATTTTTTCTTGGTTTTATTTAAATTATTAAGGTTAGAATCTAAAGCTTATTTTTAATTAGCATTTTGTTCAAGTACTTCACATGTTCTGCAATTAGAATTCTGACTGTTTCAGACAATATTCCTAGCTATTTGGAAAGAAAAAAAAGCTGCTTTTAATGTCAAAATATCATTCATTACCTCAAGATACTAGTAATAACAGTAATGCCAAAGTTTAGCAGTTGCTACAAAGCTGGTGCTAGAGTTTTAATGTTATCATACAAAAACAGTTATGCTCCTCTAATCCTATAGGTGTTGACATCAAATGTCCTACATTTCATAAAAAGCCATGTATGTTAATGTATTTATGCTACTTTCCACCAAAAGATACTTAACTTATATGCTGAGTATATTTTACATCTATAACTGATTTAAAAAATATATATGAAAGAAAACCATAAATACTTATTTTCCATACATTGTCTACATTGTTAATTATACATTTGTCCTTTTTGTTGGTAATTATATGAATGGCCACTAAGGTTGGGTGATAAATGGAATTTCCACATTGATTAATTGTCAGGCTCATTAACCAATTGCATTCAATTAATCAACTATTCTCACAAAACTTGGACAGTTGGAACAATTGAAAATAGTTATAATCAGAAACACTAATTTCAGTTAGTTGATTATTTTCATGAGTCATAACACTTGTCAATTAATATGAAGAACAATGATGCTTGGAGACGGCTTGAATGTGTAATGAAGATACTATTTAATACAAGTTTAACATAACAACAAATGTACAACGTTTTGCCTTAAAGTGTGTTCCTCATCATCTAATATGAAGAACCTCGAGTTAATCAAAAATAATAACAAGAAACCACAATGGCAATATTTCAATTACTTGGACAGCTGAAATAATTGAAAATGGTAATAATAGGAATATTAATTCAAACTAGTTTATTATTTTCATAACAACTGACTTAATCGTAATTTTGATTAATCGATTATTTTACATGACATTAATTGACGTAATTGATGCTCATAGGTAATCAATTATATTGAATAATGAAATTAATTGCACAGCTGTAAGTCACTAGAATCTAAATTTTATTCTGTCAAAAAAAAACATACTTCAAAGCATGCAACCTATATTTGGGTTTTACAGCCTGTGTAAATTCCACACAATGATTTCTATTTCTGAAACACACACATATGTTCTGTATCCCTGACTATGAAGAAAGCCAAATATTTCTAGTTTGAAATTTGATAAGCACATTAACCAGTTACTAAATACCTGTAATAAATCTGTATAATCCATCCATCTATTTAAATCTCTAATGAGTTACAAAAAAACCTGATAATACAACAGTTGTTAGCAAATTTCTTCTTACTACTACTGTTATAATAATGATTGATACTTCATTTGGGTCACATAACTGTATTTGAACACTTTATTAAGTTTATAATTGAAAATGTGATAGTCAAGCCTAGTTAATAAGGTAAATAACAATGCTACATTTTTTACTTTATATTATACTTAATAGTTTTACATTCAATGTCAGTATTTAGTAGTCACACACAAATACAGTATCTTTCTAACTGCTTATTAAAAATAAGTTATTTTTACTGATATTAACCAACAAAAATATATCATCAAATTATAATTAAAGCTACAATATATAAGCATACATCATTCATGAACATTTTCAAAAAAAGATAACTTGGAAGAGAAAATCCTTCTTTTGCAATTTTTCATTCCAGCAAGCAAACATTTACAATGTATGTTTATCTACAAACAGGGTTTGAAATTAATGCTAGCAAACTACCAAATTGCTGTTTAATGTTCCACTTTTTCATTCCAGCTTGCAAACATTTACAAGTTATGTTTATCTACAAATGGGATTTGAAATTAATGCTAGCACACTATCAAACTTCTGGTTAGTGTTGCAGGCTTTCTACTAAAACTTAAAAGGCACAAGAAAAAATTGCTAGTACACATTTCAGAAAGAAGATTCACAGATCCTTACTATGGAGTATCAATACACTTGTGATACAAGCATTTCAGTTGTTTATATGGCAAAGTTCAGAGTACAGAAGGTTACTAGAATTGTGATTAACAAGATTGTTTCATTTACTTGTGCTATGCTGGTTTCAGCTGCATGACATACTCAGGCTAAGTATCAGGAAATTGGTGATAATAAGACTACACGTTAAATTCATTTGGTTGGTTGCAATAGTAATTAGCACGTGAGCCAGTGCAGTTTGCCAGAGGTGTGGTTAGAAATATGGAATCTGCTCATTGGAGGTAATAATAAAATAGAAATCACATAAGCTTCAGTTGATTTTTTCATAAATTGTCCATAATTAATAAATATGTTAGGCTTATTTGCTTCTAATGTTTTGCTATTTTGACATTTAAATCATAACTTTTAATAATATAATACTTACTATAACTAACTGGTACAATGATTTTAGTTGTACACAGTAATTTTTCTTTTCAAAACAGTGTTTATCCTTATATGGCTGTATGTGTTTTGGAAGTTTTTAACACATACTTACATTAACTCCCCATCTTTAGAAAGAAATTATTGCATCAATTACTTTTAATAGTAATGAATGCACAAGCAGTAGAAATCCAATTTTAATAAAACACATTTTAGTACAGGTAGACTGTCATCAGTGGAGTACTACAGACTTTTTCAATCCAGGCAGTTGTGGCCTAGATAGGCCAATTTTCTCTCAAACTGAACAATTTTTAACTTTTGTGAAATAGTCACAATAGATATAAAAGCACTGTTCAATACATATTAAAAAAGTTTTGATCTTCAAACATAATTGGAAAAAAACATGACACAGACGATCTATCTATACATATAAGTAGAATATATATACATACTTATTAACATTTACTATATTAAATAATTAATTATGAAACAGTTACAGTTAATTTTAGGGAGTAATAATGATGTTGTTATGCTTTCAAAAGTTAAGGTTGAGACCTGACAAACTAAAATTAACTTGACACTAAATAGTTGCTTTAAATCTATGACAAACACAATATAAATTACTTTAATGAATTAATAATATACATTAATAATATATTTTGAATAAAGTCACTATTTACTTAACTCTTGTACTGAAGGACAAGTCTCACTGATTGCAATGCTTTTACGTATGATCTCAAGAAAATAAAATATGGAAATTATAAAAAAAAAAGTTAAATGTATCATAAGAATGAGCTAAAATTAATTTCTAACATTTATGCAGTTAATAAATTTCAAGTAAATATTTCTCTTAAAGAATCCATTGTGAAATAGGAACTGAAGCAGATGGGATGCACTATTCTATAGGAAATATTCATAAGTGGAGAGCACATGTGGGTATTAAATAAATAATATTCTATTGAATTTTATAGGTGTTTATACCTGTGTTAATGGCATACAGTTTCCTCTTAACTGCCGCTTGACAACTGCAGCACAAAAACATATAAGAGTGACAAACTATCATGTATATATATGTGTACACACACACACACACACACACACCTTTATCACTGTCATCATCAACTAAAACAACTTCTTTCAAAAACTGGGGTGGAGATCGGTTTAGAACACTGTGGATTGTTCGTAGTAGTGTTGACCATCCTTCATTATGGAACACAATAACAACACTTGTACTAGGTAAATTCTCTGGATAATGCCAGTAACGGCATCTGTAAAAACAAAACTGTTTTTATTTACTTTCAGATTCAGTACAAAATACTAATTAAAATCATTACACTTCTAAATTTTGTAACTTGTAAGTCTTTTCTAAAATGATGTCATTCAAGGCTTCTTTAGATTGGACTTTCTTGACATACTGTATGCCCAATGAACTAAATATTTTATTGAAGACACAGTATGTTAATATAGGTAAAAAATTATCAATACATACATTAAAATTATAATTCTATTGTATAGAATACAATGTTTTATATAAGCATAAATGGAGAAAATGTTCAAGTGAATTATCTTGTTTAATGATTTATCAATATTTTTGACTAAGGTGGTATGTTACAACATCCTTGATAAATGATTTAGTGTGATTAATAATGTCACCCACATTCCAACCAATATAGATGTGTTACCTAACAATAATATAATTTCAATAACTTCATATATTTTAATATTCATTGTAAGTGATAAGTTGAAATGTATCAAAACCTAGCTTTCATTCTGAAAATTTGTTTTCCCATCAAAGTGTTATTTTTAAAATAATGTTTAGCAACTACTTTAAAGTTACAAGTCCACTGCAAAATAGGAGAAAATTTCTTACTACACACTGTACATTAATTTTCAACAATCTGATTTTAGCTTTATATTTTCAGCAAAAATTACTTTAATACCTTATAATATACTACAAATTAACCATTCTGCTAGAAATAAAAAACATATGTCAATACAGTTATGCTAGTGTAGATTATTTACTGCAATACCAATGTATGTTATTCTGTTTCTGGTTTATATAACTTCCTGTTGTGGTATGAAATATACTCATCTACATATCTTCTCATATAACTAACATACATGTAACTAGAAAAACAATACACATGCTAACAAAATGATGAAATAATAATAAGGTAACGATACACAAAAAAAAACAACAGAGATTAAAACTACTCACTCCTCATGCCGAATATCAGGGATAGACCGGTCAAGGGTCACTTGATTACTAACCACCATGTTCATTCCATACTCCATCATCACTGAGGCAACTTCATTCTGGTCTTCTCCTCTACCAGCATAGGGTTTCCCACCTTCTCCAGGTCCTTCTCGCACTGTATTAGAGGGAACTGGTTCAAAATTTCCAAGAATTCCTTCCTTGTATATCGGTCTTTGCTTTAGGCTAAGGTGTGTATCCTTCAAAGTTTGAAGTAAATACATAAGCTTTAGCCAAAAACAGACCACATTTAAAACTAAAATAAAAAACAATATCTTAATGAAAAACATCAGAATAAAATCCAATTTTAATCCCTTAATCACATTGTAAGAAAAACAACAATCTGAATGAATTACACAGTTAAGTAGCTAAGTAAACACTTACTTTTTTGATTAATTTTTCTTGTTGCTCAACTTCTTGACTTTTTGGTTTGGGCATGAAAAAAGCTACAGTCAATATCAAAATGATGATTAAAAGGCTAACTTTCAACAGTCGACCCCTCCGTAGTAAGAGCATTTTCACTTCTTTATAGAAATATATCTGCACAAATATCACCAATCTAGTAATAAGAAATTATTATCTGATATTCTAAATCATAAGAAATGTTTAATAAGGGCAACTTTCATACAATTATTTAGATCTTCCCCTCTTAAACTCCTCTAATGTGCAGGCCTCCACTACTTCTGATGATAATTCATTCCATGTCAATCATCCTGTCAAAAAAATAAAACTGTCTTAATTATAATCAAGCCTGTCTTTTCCAAATCTTAAACATTTTATCCACTCACCCTATTATCTTAGAATACAGCACAAAGAAATCACAGGCTTTCATCCAATTTATTCTGTGGATAATCTTGTAAACTTCAATAAGATCACCTTTCAAGTTGTTAACAAGTACGTGCAGTAAGAATAATAACATCACCATAACAAGAAGGCACGACTCTCCGATTTTCAGTTTAACTGACCTGATTATCTTACAAATTACAAATGTGTAACTTTCAGTGTAAGCCCACAGCCACGTCCTTAAACTGGCACTATTACCACTAACTGATTAAGTACTAGTAGAACTTACAACCATTGAAGTAGTAGTAGTACTTACTGACTAATTGAAGTGACTAAACCCTTCAAAACAATACTCACTAACTGATAAAAAAAAAGGAACTGTCCGGACTACAGAATATGTAAAATTCTTCTTCTTTTTTCATATACAACAAATTACAATTTACGTTATTAATTTTGTTTAAACTTTTTTAAAACGTTTGCAACACGTCAGCACATGTCAAAAACATTACCTCCCTCTGGTGTATAAAAAAGAATTGAGACGGCTTCTGCTTTTGTTTACTTCTTTATAACAGTATATGATAATTATTCTTTCTGTTTGATAAAATTATAATTATCTGTCTTCTAGTGGAATTTTAATAAAACTGTCATAACCACTGTAGTCTTTCATATATGGCCCGGCATGGCCAGGTGATTAGGGCGCTCGACTCGCAATTTGAGGGTCACGGGATCGAATCCCCATCACACCAAACATGCTCGCCCTTTTAGCCGTGGTAGCGTTACAATGTGACGATCAATCAAACTATTCGTTGGTAAAAGAGCAGCCCAAGAGTGGGCGGTGGGTGGTGATGACTAGCTGCCTTCCCTCTAGTCTTACACTGCTAAATTAAGGACGGCTAGCGCTGATACCCCTCGTGTAGCTTTGCGTGAAATTCAGAACAAACAAACAAACTTTCATATATTGTTCAAGTGACTGGTAGCTAATTACGTGATCCATAGCTTCATGCCATCGTAAATTGTTCAACTCAACTTAAAAAATGCAATAGCAATACCCCCCTCAGTGAGTTAGCAGTAAGTTTATGTACTTATTAAAACGCTAAAATCCCGGGTTCAGTTCCACGTGGTAAACAGAGCGCAGGTAGTAAATTGTGTAGCTTCTAAAACAAAAAAGCTATAATAATAACTACTATGGAAGAAGACAGGGAGTTGAAAAGGGGAAATGAATGTTTTATGATATTCTGTCTTATGTATCTTAAATAGAAATATTGAAAAATGAATTTAACCAAATATATTTCTAAGAGTAATAGTATTGTTACGACAGCAGAGGTCACGTGAATAAAGAAAGAATAAACCAGTTTTATTTAAGAAAGGACTTGTATCGCTAAAGTTTCTTTAGAAAG